GTTTAGCAGAAGGAGTTGTAATACAGAGTGATAGAGGAGATTGCCTTTGTTGCGGCAAAGACGCTTATTTAATTGAGTCACCCAGGGAGGCCGGACTTTTCCCTGGGTTTATTATTTTTACCCTCCTTCATCTTAGACTTTGTCATAACTCAAAAATTAGCTTAGGGCAATCCAAGCTTTTCTTTGGTTCCCAAGTATTATGCCCCTCTGAAAAGCCTTTCTACTTCAGCAGATACTCCACTTGCCCCCTAACCATGCACCTAACACTTTCTCCACGACACACTTATCCTCATCCTCTGAAGAACTGTCAGCTGTCCTCTTGGTTTTCTTTCCCATATCATACACTGTTGCACCTGAAGGAATAAGGCCATTGGGTTCCAGTATAAATCCACATGGACAGCCACTGTGGTGGTGCACACCTGTAATCGCAGCACTCTGGGAGGCTTAGCCAGGAGGACTGCAAGTTCAAGCTGTGCCTGGGCTAGACCCTGGGACTGAGAGGGACATCTCACACTAATGTCCCCCCCGTTCCTCTGTGTTAAGGTGGGACCACAAGCCACTGCAGCTGGTGCCTCTGTTCATCCTCTTGTGCTTGCTTTTTGAAATTTTATTTTGAGGCAATGTTTTGCGAAATTGCCCAGGCTGACCTTGAGTTTGAGATCTCTCTGCCTTAGTTCCATGAGCAGCTGGGATACAGGTGTGGCCACCGTACCACAAGAAGGGTTTTCACCGAGTTTTACTGAGTTGAGTCTTCTAGATGTGGAGTGAGGCTCTGCTGTGGTCGGGGATGCACTTGTCTTCTTGGTGTAGCTGGGACATATTGAACCTGAATTCAAGCAAAACTTTTAGGTCTCTTTCAAACTGTCTTTAGGCCGTTCCATCTTTTTGTGTACTTAAGAACTGAATTTTTAAAATCCAGAATATAAGGCTTAATATTTAATCCATTTGTATTCTCTCTAGTTGATTTGAGAAAGGAGAATTTTGAATCTGTTCTCATTCGGATCTTCAGTTAGCTTTTGTTACTTATGTAACAGTTTCCTATCATGTACAGATTTGATAAGCAATTTTTTTTAATCTTCTAAATCATTGATGGAATGGCTAAATAGCTCAGGTCTTTTTTTTTTTTTTAATAGCTCAGGTCTTAAGACACATCTTTTGACATCCTCTACTTAGGGACACTTGTCTTTTGACTCCATTTAGTGCTAGAATTTTGTAAGATACCTTGCTGCAAGTGGGTACATTGTCCCCATAAAGTTCCCTTTTGTTGCAAAACGAAAGTAGTTTTTTCCAACAATGTACTTTTTCATTTTTTTACAGAAAAGGAAGTGAATGAGCTGATGGAAGAACTGTTTGAAACTGTGAGTAATGATACTTGAGTGAGCTCATGTGATGAAAATAGATTTTGCAGGCAGCTCTGTTCTTTGGTTTGGGATTCTCTTTCTATAAGGGTGGTTTGCCTGAGCCATTCTGCTTTTAGTCTACCCAGGAGAGAATACAGTAGCAAGAAAATGGTGTGAGCTGGGAAACTCTTTAATTATTCATGTGTAGTTTATTCCTAGTGAGGTTCTCTGTGCAAACTTGCTGTCCTCCCCCACTATCATTCAGTACGTACTTAGGCTGTAAACCAGCTTTAGAGTTCTCTGTACTCAAGAACTGCCTTCCTCATAAAGTTGTCTGTTGAAATGTATTTCTAAGAGAGTGCTTGTTCTGAGTTATCGAGTCAGTCCTCACCATTACAAATTGGCTAGCTGAGAGATTTTTTTCTTGGCATAATAATCATCCACACGTGGGGTTCTGGGAGTCCTGAAGTGCAGACCCTATCTGGTGGCAGCATGATTAAAGTCGTGTAATCTATAGTTTTCAATTACCCATGTTGCTACGGGAGTGACTTACAGGGGCTGGTTTCCCTGCAAATCGTTTTCTTTGCCTATAGTTCCAAGATGAGATGGGATTCTCCAACATGGAAGATGATGGCCCAGAGGAGGAGGAGCGTGTGGCTGAATCTCGGCCTAATTTTAACACCCCTCAAGCCTTACGGTACGTTGGCCACAGACCTTAAAACTTACAAGGGAGGAAATGTGTATTTCTTTCATTTTTTTAATCTCTTTTTTAGTGAGAAAGGGTCTCACTATGTAGTCCAGGCTGGCCTTGAGCTCACTTTGTAGCCCAGGCTGGCCTCAGACTCACAACCATCTTCCTGCCTCAGCTTCCCAAGTGCTGGTATTACAGGCATGTGCCACTACACCTGGCTGAAATGTGTATTTCTGAAAAAGTTTTTGGAAATGACTTTGAACAGTTTCTCCTCTTCAGCTGTCTTCTGTTAATTATGTAAGGATACAGAACTCTGGAGGGAGTTAGGTGGTAAGTGAAAAATCTCCTTGTTAAGGGGCAGTACAGCAAAAGACTGAGCTGTATCTGTTTGGGAAGGGAGAAAGAACAGCAGCTGGCATCCAATCACACCTTCTCCAGGAGAGTGGTGCTGGAGAAGTATATAGGACTCTATGTGGCCAGCCACAGAAACTACTCTAAATTACGATAACTGTTACACTGCTTTCATTTTTCTTATTGCCATTAACATGTGGTAGATGGGAATGAAAGTTTCTTAGTCACCTAGGTATTAATTGAACAAACTATGTAGCACCTGCAGTAATGTCCCAGGAGCTGGAAATATATATACTTACCTTTGCTCTCTAAGTTGGCACTTTTTTTTTTAACTGCAGATTGAACCTAGGTACTTCGCACTGAACTATATCCCTAGCCCTTTTTATTTTGAAACAGGGCGTTACTGAGTTGCCCTGGTTAGGCTCAAACTTACCACCCTCCTGTGTCAGCCTTGTAGAGCACTGAGATTACAGGTGTGCACCACAGGTGTGTGCCACCACATCTGGCTGAAGTGGGCACTTCCTAAACCTCCGGAAAGTAGATGTTTTAATTTTCTGCTCTCTTTTTGTGGATGGATCTGGATCCCCTTTCCTTTCCTTCTTTTTCCTCCCCTCTCCTTTCCTCCCCTCCTTTCCCCTCCCCTTCCCACACTAAGGATTGAACCCAGGGCTTTCATACTAACCTACATTCCCAGCGCTTTTTTTCATTTTGAGACAGGGTCTTGGTAAATTACCAAGTTGCCCAGGCTGAGTTTGAACTTCTGGCCCACCTGCTCCTGCTATTATAGGTGTATGCCACCACAGATCTGTACTTCAATCTCTTGCTATCTGTTGTGAGTAGAAGCATGTAGTTACTAAACGTGATACTGGATGCTGGTCCTTTGACTCAGTTATAAATAAAATTAAAACTAGGCTAAGAGTTGTGAGAAGGGAGGCAAAGCTTTAATTGCAAAGTAAGAGAAGATGGAGAAGGGACTTCAGCTTAACCGGAAGAACTGAAGCGGGAGCATGGCATTGATATGATCAGGCTGGTCTGTTCAGAGAGGAACAGGGCTATCTGTTGCTGCTGCTGCTTCGTCTTTGTCTTCCTCTTCCTCCTCTTCATCTTCTTCATCTTTTCTTCTTTGTCTTGGTTTTGGTTTTGGTTTTTTGAGATAGGGTCACACAATGTAGTTCAGGCTGGCCTTGAACACACTGTGTAGCCCAGACTGGCCTCACGCTCATGGCAATCCTCCTGTCTCAGTCTCCCGAGAGCTAGGATTACTGGCATGAACCACCATGCCCAGCTAAGGGGCCAGCTTTTATGGGGTTGTATTCATCTGGTCATGAGTATGAAATTTCTTAGAATTTTTTCCCTCTGTTTTAAAGGATTTCTTCATTTTATAAGATATTGTTCAGTGCTTATCCTTGGAGACATCATATGCACCCCTCCCCCATAGTGTAATTGGTCCTTGCAGTAAGAGTAACGGGATAAGGAAGAACACATTCCAGTGTTGGTAAAAAGATGTTTCCACCTTCAGTGGGCAATAAGTTATGAATTAAGAGTTAAGACCCCCTCCATCTCTTCACCCTGTGAAGTTTCCTGTTCTGTTTCAGTTGTGTGGCCAGAAGTCAGAGCACAGCAGAAGTAACAGCCCTGCAGCCTCTTGGGAGTCCTGTGTTTTAAGGTAGCAGCACCACTTCGGAAGGCAGCTTGGGATCCATTAGGAAGCTAGACTTTCAGGGACTGAAAGTGAAAGTGCGCTTTAGTGAAAAGGACAAGCTACACTAGAGAATGTGTACAAACCACAAATACCGATCATACTCTGTTTTAACAAATAGCATAATAACCACCTAGAAATCTCAAGATTATTAAAGATTGCATCCACTTATTCCAGGTCATAGAACAAAGTTCTGATTTAGCAGAATGTAACCATTCCTCTTGGGGATGTATTATTGTGGGATTTGATCTATAAACACATTTTGGTTCATGTCAATTCTGCATATGTGATTTTTCAAATTTGGGAATTACAGTACTACTTTAAAATTCCTGTTAAAGCCAGGGGCAGTGGTGCATACCTGTAGTCCCAGCACTTGGGAGGATCACTGAGTTTGAGGCCAGCTTGAACTATATATATAGTGAGATCCTATTTAAGAAAAACAAAAACAAAAATTCCTCTTGGACTACTGCTTCTCTTTTAAATTACAGATGGAAACCTGCTTTAATCTTTTTTGTTTTCTATTTTCATGGTACTGAAGATTTTTGAACCCAGAGCCTTCCCACTGAGCTACATTTTTATTTTTTATTTTGAGATATGGCCTCACTAATTTGCTAAACTGTCCAGGCTGGGGTTGATTTGTAATCCTCTTCCCTCAGCCTCCAGAAGTTCTGGGATTATAGATGTGTACCGGCATCCTCAGCTGTATCATTTACTTCATCATGCTTTTGCTCTTTTGGGTGGTAGTAACACAGGTAATCAACTTTTTAGTTCTCAGGTCATACAGCTCTGTCTAAATCTGCAGTAAATACTATAAAAAATGCTATAAAAGGAAGCACCATCTTTATCCTTAAGGAATATTAAAAAGGGTTATCACTTAGCTGGGCATGGTGGCAGATACCTATAATCCCAGGCCCAAGTGGTTTGAGGCAGGAGGATCGCTTCAGGTTTTAAGCTAGCCTGGGCTACACAGTGAGTTAGGTCAAGGCTAGCCTAGCCTGCATAGCAAGTGGGAAACCCTGTCTCAATAACAACAGCACACTGATTGTGGTGGCTCATGCTGCTATAATCCCAGCATTTAGGAAGCTGAGGCAGGAGCATCGCCACAAGGAATTTGTAGCAAGGAATTTGAGGCCATCTTGGGCTGTATGGCCAGGCTGAACTGCCTAACAAGATCCTGTCTCAAAAAAACCAAGTATAACAAGAAAAAGGTTATCATTTAACCATTACTACACTTTAGGAGACTGTAAATATAATAATCTGTAGTCATAGCTATGTCAGCATGTTTTTTTCCTGACTGCGTAGGTTATCAGCATGTGCTTAATCACTTGCTTGCCTTTTGTTCCTCTTTTACTTAAGAACTAACACAGTAGGATCAGGAATGGTAATACACATCTGTAACCCCAGCATTCTAAGAGACTGAGGTAAGAGGACACAAGTTGAACCCCTGTCTGGTAAATATAGGGACATAGTGAGATCCTGTCTAAAAAAAAAACCAAACCAGAACAAAACGAAAGGCTGGGGATGTAGCTCAGTGGTACAAGTGCCTGCCTGGCAAGCATAAGGTCCCGAGTTTGATTCCCAGAACCACAGAAAACAAAACAAACCAAAAAGAGTTAGAGACCAAAACAAAACGAAAAAAACTGAGGTATTTTGGTTCTGAGGAACAGGTATAAAATTAGGGTTAGGAAATTTGAGGAGGAATTCAAAAGGCTCAATGAAGGTATTTTCTTTTTTTTTTTTTTTTTTTTTTGGTTTTTCTCCGGTACCAGGAACTGAACTCATGACCTTCCGCTTGCCAGGCAAGCGCTTTTGCCGCTGAGCTAAATCCCCAGCCCTCAATGAAGGTATTTTCGTGGAGGATAGTGTGGTAATAATTGAATTAACCTCTCAGTTCTGTTCATCTAATTTACCACATATTTTGGCTTATCTCCTTCTTTCTTTTTTCTCCAAGAGCCTTGAGTTTATACAAAAGGAAAGCAGGGTGATTGAATGGATAGGGAGATAGGAGAAACTGGACTTAGGATAGGAGTAGCAGGTAAATTAGAGAACAAATGCTGTATCTTTGAACTGTTAAGAACAGGTCACAGTGGGGCTGGGGATATAGCTCAGTGGCACAAGCACCTGCCTGGCAAGCGCAAGGTCATGAGTTCAATCCCCGGTACCGCAAAAAAAAAAACAAAAAAAAAAACAAGTCACAGAGCAATGTGGGTATCAGCTGATGCGAGCCTGATGAGCTCTCACTAGCTTCTTCATTGCTGTTATTCAGATGTTTCTCTATTTGCAGATTTTCTTTAATTTTCTCTCCACTGTATATTGTTTAGAAGAGAAATTATGGAAAAATAGGGTGGGGTCTAATTCAGAATCATTTTGTTTATTTTTATTTCCTCCTAGTGCTGGGGATTATACCCAGGGCCTTGCACATGCCAGATAAGTGCTATACCCTTGAGCTGTATTCCCAGCCTCAGAATCATTTTATTTGCATCTGTGCTAACAATTTGGGGGAAATATTTGTCTAAGGAGTTTGTTGGCTAAAGTGGGATTTGGGGATTAGTAGCAAATAGATATTGTCTGTGTTTTCTTAGTGCACCATTAGAAGGAGTTGGAAGTGTTGTGGACCTGGGGAAATGTCCATATTCAGTTATCTCCCTGTTGAGGGTAGGTTTGAGGAACCATTGGCTAACTTGCTAAATGAACAACATCGGGCAGTGAAGGAACTACTTGAACAGCTGAAGATGAAGAAATCTTCAACCAAACAGCAACAAGAGATGGAGAAGCTTAAGCCACAGGCTGAGAAAGTTCATCAGACTCTGATTCTAGATGTGGCACAGAGGAAGAGACTGCAGCAGCAGATGCAGCAGGTGAGACCCTTCTTGGTAATGTTAATATTGGATTATCTTGGGGGCTGATAGTGACACCCAGAATGAGCAGCTCTGTAGGAATCTGAGTAGCTTCCTCCACTGAAACCCTGGGCCATAGGATCTTCACATCAGTTAGAACCTTGAGAGATCGTTGTGTTCGTGGCCTTATGATTCACCACAATAGTATTCAGAATTGGAGATTATTATATAGAGTCCTTGAAATATGTTCTGGAATTTAATAGCCTGAGCTATAATAGAGTTTTTTTTTATTAGTCACTCTGGTTAGAGGTTAAACATTCTGTGGTCTGTCTTTTTGCTTCAGGGAACATACCTGAAAGTTTATGCCAAGCTTCCCCAGGAAGCAAAATAAATGTGATAAATTTGCAGACATCTTGGTAAGCTCTGTTTCTGAAATGGCAATATTATAACATGTCAATGTTTTCTTTCCCTCCTCAGCATGTTCAGCTCTTGACACAAATCCACCTTCTCGCCTCCTCCAACCCCAACCTCAGTTCAGAGGCCAGTACCACCAAGATATTTCTTGTAAGATTCCATTTATCACTAACACAAGAGTTGACTATGAAATTAGCTTAGCAACTCATTTCTCATGTTATTCACTGATTGTAACTTACTTTTATTTTCTCCTGGATGTATTTGGTTGTGTGCTTTGTTTTATAGCTTCCTATGTTTATGTTTACTGATGCAACATAAGCCAGTGGTTCCTGTGATAGTATCCCAATTTTCTTTTTCTTTTATTGAGACAGGGTCTTGCAACATAGTCCAGGCTGAGCTTGAACTCACTGGATAGCACATGCTGGCCTCAAACTCAGTCTTCTCGCCTCAGCCTCCTAAACTGAGATTACAGATGTGTGCCACCATGCTTGGCCCCAGTTTTCTCAGTGCTATCCTTCTGGCTTTTTTTTTTTTTACTTGAACTCAGGGCATTTGCGCTGAGCTCCATCCCTAACCCTCTTTTATTTTTATTTTGAGATTTGATCCTGCTGAGTCATTAAGTTGCTCAGGTTGGGCTCGAACATGTGATACTTTTGATGTTTTTATTGTGTCCTTCTCCTTGTCTTTGGATCTACCTGATTTTTTTCTTTCTCTTTCTCTTTCTCATTTTCTTTTTCTTTTCTTTCTTTCTTTCTTTCTTTTTTTTTTTTTTTTTTTTAAGGTCTTGGTATTTAGTTGGCCTCAAACTTGGAGCACTGTTGCCTCAGATTTCGGAGTGCTGGGATTATACACATGTGCCACTATGCTGGCTTCTACCTGACTTCTTATATTTTTGGTATTGCTATTTTTATTTTTTTCAGTATTGGCCATTGAACCTAGGGCTTTCTTTTTTTTTTTTTTTTTTGAGACACGGTTTCACTATGCAGTTTAGGCTGACCTTGATTTATTTATTTGGTCTTTTTTGAGACAGGGTCTCCCTATGCAGTTCAGGCTGCCTTGAGGTCACTTTGTAGCCCAGGCTGGTCTTAAACTCACAGCAATCCTCCTGCCTCAGCCTCTCGAGTGCTGGGATTGCAAGTGTGTGCCACCACGCCCAGCTTGGCCTTGAACTCACTTTGTAGCCTAGGCTGGCCTCAAACTCACAGGGATCCAGTTGTTTCAGCCTCCTGGGATACTTCTGTTTTAATCTTTCAGAATGTTGGGGTAGAAGAATGCATTATTTTACCTAACTTGGTACTGCTGTTTTTATAGATGTTGAATTCATTGTCTGTTCATTAATCTCCATATTAATGTTTTCTCTATAGAATTAATTTTTCTCATGACATTTTGAAGTAGTGTGTGGGCTTTTTATTTTTGGAGATCAGATCTCACTGTTCTGTATACAGTGAGATAGGGTCTCACTGTGTAGTTCAGGCAAGTGCTTATGCCACTGAGCTACATCCCCAGCCCAGTAATATCTACTTCTTAGGTCCATCTCTTTGGAATTTGAGTGGTATGTTTGCTAATTCTCCAAGCTTCCTTTATGGGCAGGAGAATATATTCACGTCTTACTGTGTCAAAGGACCTTAAAGGGAACTTCATGCTAGGTGTTATTTATTTATTTATTTATTTCCTGTACTGGGAATCGAGCTCAAAACCTTGCGCTTGCCATGCACGCGCTGTGCTGCTGAGCTAAATCCCCAGCCCCCTCGTGCTAGGTGTTATTCAGAGAAATCTTTACAAACAATGGGTCTCATTTTTGAGAACCTTAATTTTCCCTTTGGATCTAGCTGGATTCTGTCTACAAGGCTGAGGATTCCTCAGTCTGAGAAAAATGAAAACAAAAGAACATATTATATAATCCCTGAGTGTCTGGTGAATCAGCCACAAGAAGTCTTGATGGAATAATGTTAATTATGACAGGCTATATTTTTTTCTGCTTTGTTCTGTAGTAGAGGGACAGATTCTCATTCTGAGGCTCAGAGCTCCTGATTCTTAGATTTCTTTTTATCTTGTTTTCCCAGAAAGAGCTGGGGACCTTCGCTCAGAGCTCCACTGCCCTTCACCATCAGTCCAACCCCACGTTCCAGACCTTGTTCCAACCTTGTAACCTGATGGGAGCCATGCAGCTCATCGAGGACTTCAGCACACATGTCAGCATTGACTGGAGCCCCCCAAAACCTGTGCGCAAGAATGGTAGGGAGCAGAGATGTCACTCTCAAGTTTCCTGTTGCAATGAAAGATGGTAGTATAGATGGATACTTTCCTAGGAGTGGAGGACACAGAGGATTTATCTGTCTTTTTACTCTGAGTTTTAGAGTTGTACAATATTAGTGCTCAGGGAAGCTGGGCATAGAGGCTGTTGGCAGAATAAGGGGCTATTGTGGGGGCTAGAGATGTGGGATGCATTGCTGAGAAGTGGACTTAAATGATGTGTTAGGTACTGGATCGAGGCAAACTGGGGTCTGGTAAAGGTGAAAGTCCAGTGGGGGAAATTCATCTTATTTCGGTATTTATTCTCTTCTTCATTAAAACTGACCCTTGACTACTTCCCATGATTGTAAAGTAGGCAGTAGTCCTTTTTCTTTTTCTTTTTTTTTTTTTTTTGGAGATAGGGTCTCACTGTGTTGCTTACGCTCACTTTGAACTTGTAGTCCTTTTGGCTCAGTCTTCCGAAATGCTGGTCTTAGAGGCATGTGCCACCATGTCCGGCTTCAACTGTAGCCATGTTTAAATTTTATTTTGTGATTGGTCTTCTGAGTTCTCAAGACTGGCCTCGAACTTGTGATCTACTTGCCTTAGCTGTGGTAGCTGAGATGAGCAGCATACACCACCACTACTACTGGTAGTTTAGTGGGGTTTTTTTTGAGAAAATATTTGCTGTCCTCTGTGTAGCCAAATATTTGCCTCTAACTTGTCTCCTAATTTAGCAAATTAGTTGTAGTTTGTTCTGGATTTTGGTTTGTATGTGGATTTGATTTTAAATTCCTGAATCTTATGGTTAAATTCAATATAGTTAAATTTCCATTCATTATATCATAGACACAGATCTCCAAGCTGCTTTTTATTGATAGTTGGCAATGAAAACTTAAAACCAAAATATAGTAATAACTTTTACACCTACTGTCCTACGTTTTCTTCTGGGCATATAAAAATAACACAGATGTAGTAGTTCATGTATGTAGAAAGGCACAGGTGCCTGGAATTGAGAGGCTTAGAGCTGAAGACAGAAATGAATGAGACTGAATTGTCTCATTCCCTTTATGGTTTTTTTGTTTCCAACCTCAGGAGGACTCTGGGAGAACTTCAAAGTTAAGTAAGAATCAAATAAAAATACAATTTGGAATACCAGATTTGTGAGGGAGATTAAAGAAGTTGGACTCTTACCCTGAAAGAAAACCTTGTAGAGGGTTTCTTATCTTTCAGGGATTTAAAGGGGGAAGGGGATAAAAAATTCTTTGAGGATACACTATGTGCCAGGCATTACTAGGTGCTTTGTGTTTGTTACTTTGTGTTAAGTGTCCCACATAGGAAAGAAGAAAAGATGAGGTTGAATGGCGCTGCCTTTAGGGGTATGTTAGGTTGAGAAACTGGAAACTTTTGGGGAGAGTGGGTGAGTGGGAGGGGATTAAGTCAGAAAAACTCTATCTAAACACAGAAATGCATTCAAAAACTTTTGTGAAGCCTTTTTTGGTCCAAGAATTTCACTTCCCAGAGATGTTTTTTCTTATAGTTTATGAATTTTCCTGTTTGCCAAAGCAAGTGGCTTGGATCCTAGCCACAAGTAAAGTGTTCATGTATCCAGAACTACTTCCTGTGTGTTCCCTGAAGGCAAAGAATCCTCAGGATAAGCTCATCTTCACTAAGGCTGAGGACAAGTAAGTGTTTACTGTTTAGAGAAATGGTCTATTAAGTAGCCAACAATGTGTACAAGAATTATTATTACTGTTATCGGCAGTACTGGGGATAGAGCCCAGGACCTTCATATTGAGATACATCCCTAGTTCTTTTAAAAAGAGTTTTTGTGAGATAGGGTCTCACTGAGTCATGAAATTAACCAAACAAGGGTTGAAGTTGTGACTTCCTGCTTCAGCCTTCCCGAGTGCTGGGATTACAAGCATAGACTATCATGCCTGGCTGAACAATAATTAGATGTAGGAAAAGTGGTTTATAACATACTGGTAGCTGGGCTTGGTGGTCCATGCCCATAATCCCAGCACTTGGGAGGCTGAGGCAGGAGGATCGCCATGAGTTTGAGGCCAGCTTGAGCTTTATAGTGAGTTCAAGGCCAGCCTGGAATACGGAAGAAGACCTTATCTCAAAAACAGACACACAATTTAAAAAGAAAGAAAAGAGGGGGGTAGTGGTCTGGGGAGGACTTTTATTTTTTAATATTTATTTATTTATGTGTTTTTTTTTTTTTTAGTTTTTTTAAGACAAGGTCTCCCTTTATAATCCAGGTGGGCCTTGAACTCACTGTGTACCCCAGGTAGGATTTTTAAGAGCAAAGACTAAACTGTAATTAATGCCATTGGTCTTCCCCTTAAGTTTGCTAGCTTTAGGACTGAAGCATTTTGAAGGGACTGAGCTGCCTAAGCCTCTGATCAGCAAATACCTGCTAACCTGCAAGACTGCTCATCAGCTTACGGTTAGGATCAAGAACCTCAACCAGAACAGAGCCCCTGACAACATCATCAAGGTGAGTGCCACTGGAAGCTCTACCCTGCTTCCTGCCTGTGTGTGCCCACTTTTCTGCCAAAGTACAGCAGTGATCGACATTACTTAAAATATATTCCATTTACATAAACATACTAAAATGCCAGTTTTGCCCACTGAGTGCCAGAATATTCACGTAAAAATTTTTTTGGCTGGTTGTGGTGCCACATACCTGTTATCCCAGCACTTGGGAGGCTGAGGCAAAAGGATGCCTGTGAGTTCTAGGCCAGCCTGGGGTATATAGTGAGTTCAAGGCCAGTCTGAAGCACATAGTGAGACCTAGTATTAAAATAATTTGTGCATATAGAGAGGAAAATGACTTTTTCAAATTGGGGCAGCTGCCAAATTGATGAATTGTGGTTTCTTAAAACTTTTCATTGTTTATACATCTCATAAAGGAAGAAAATGAAAAAGAAAGTAAAAAGTCATCCATAGGGATAATTTTAATAGACACACTCTCACTTTCTGTTAAACTTGAAAGTAGCAGAAACACTCAACTGTTGTAAATCTTGCAATTAAATTTGATTTCTTACGGATTAGAAAAAGGGCAAGAGTGTGAGCACCATCCTGTAATTAGGGAGCAGGAGCAGGTCTGAGAGAAAAGGGCTGTGACCATCTGCCTCCTGTTTCACTTGTTTATATTTCTGGCAACCAGAATAGGAATGCACGGAAGATACTGAATGATCTAAAATGTTTATTAGAGATTGTTGGTTTTTTTTTTTTAAATAAAAAAAAAAATAGAGATTGTTTTAGTTAGAAGTGTACCACATTCAGCATACGGGTGTATGTGAAAGTGAGAGAGACCACCCGCTTCATTCTCCAGCCTGACGGCCGTATTTCTGGAATATAACTCATGCTGTATTTCTTCATGCTCAGTTTTACAAGAAGACCAAACAGCTGCCAGTCTTGTTAAAATGCTGTGAAGAGGTCCAGCCCCATCAGTGGAAGCCACCTATCGAGAGGGAAGAGCACCGACTCCCCTTCTGGTTAAAGGTACGACCTCCTCAGAGTCTGTAGAAGGCAGCTCACTGGAACTGCTGGCGGGAACTTCAAGGGCCGCTAGAAGCTTCTCATGCTTTAGTGGTGGAACACTTCAGAAATCTTCCTTATCCACTCTTTCACCCTTTCCTACCGTTCCCCGTGGTGACTCTACAACCTTTCCAGGCAGATGCTTATACCCCTGAGCTATATCCTCAGCCCTCTACAACCTTTCCATATAGTAGGTAGAATGTAATTTCCTGTAGGAAATTCAGAGAACTTGTAGAATACATGATTCTGTGTGGTCTCGTACTAATTGGATATGCAGGAAAGCACTTCTTGGAAAGATCCCTGAAGACTGTCTTGGAATGTTCTCTGTACTCTAGAAAGCCCTATTCTTTACCCCAAATCTGATACGAGCTGGATCAGAATGTTCTTGTTCTCAACAGGCCAGTCTGCCATCCATCCAGGACGAGCTGCGGCACATAGCTGATAGTGCCAGGGAGGTAGGAAATGTGACCGGCACCGCTGAGATCAGTACAGACCAAGGCCTAGAGAAAGCCCACTCAGAACTGGGGAGTGAGACTCGGTACCCACTGCTGTTGCCCAAGGGGGTCGTGTTGAAGCTGAAACCTGCTGCTAACCGTTTTCCCAGGAAGACTTGGAGACAGAAACGATCATCAGTTCCTCCAAGCAAAATGGTGATCCGGATTCCTCAGTTGATCCAGCCTGCCACTGTCTTGCAGACTGTTCCTGGAGTCCCTCCACTGGGGGTCAGTGGTGATGATAGCTTTGAGTCACCTGCAGCACTGGCTGCTGTGCCCCCCGAGGTCAGGACCAGCTTTCCTCTCTCTGAGTCCCAGACTCTGCTCTCCTCTGCCCCTGTGCCCAAGGTAATGCTGCCCTCACTTGGCCCTTCTAGGTTTCGAAAGCCATGTGTTCGGCGGAAACCCTCAAGAAGAAAAGGGGCCAAGACCTTTCCTTGTCCCAAACCTGCCCCCCTAATCCACTCTGCACCTGTTATCTTCACTGTTCCTGCCACCACTGTAAAGGTTGTGAGCCTGGGCAGCGGCTGTAACGTGATCCAACCCGTCAATGCAGCAGTGGCCCCGAGCCCGCAGACCATTCCCATCACCACCCTCCTGGTTAATCCTACTCCCTTTCCCTGTCCACTGAGCCAGCCTCTTGTGGCCTCCTCCATCCCACCCTTAATTGTTTCTGGCAATTCTGTGAATCTCTCGGTGTCCTCCACTCCTGAAGATAAGGCCCAAGTGAATGTGGACATTGGTTGTCCTTTGGCTGAAGGGAAAAATGCCCTTCAAAGCCTGGAACCCAAATTAGAACCACAGGAAGTAACTCCGCTCTGTGCTCCTGTCTTCCCCAAAGAGGAGCACAGCCCCAGGCCTCTGGCAGCCAGTAGAGAAAGCCAGGTAGGATTGTCAGAAAACAGCACTTGCGGTCGGACACTTGTGGAAACAGAGGAGGGGAGACAAGGTCTGGAGCCACTGCCTCAAGGTTTCCAGGGATTTCTAAACAATTCCCCTGGAGATTTAAAGGAAGTTGTGAAGATGGAACCTGAAGACCCCGGGGAGGTGATCTGCAATGTGTCCCCTGAGCAGCACATTTGTGATGAAATAAAAAAGGAATGGGACACTGGCTCCCCACGGGAGGAGTTGAGCAGCGCTAGAGTGTTGAAAAAGCAGGCAGTCCTGCAGAAGGAGGAGAGGAGTCAGCTGGCTCACACCCCTTCAGCTTCTCAAGAGCCTTCTGACGAGGGAAGTGCAGTGGGGGATGTGAGCAAAGGTTCCCCAAGGAATGCTCCATCTTCCGTGGAGCCTGAGATGGTCCTTAGCAGTCCCCTGGGGAAGCCTGAAGAGGCGTCCAGTGTTGATGGTCAGTCAGTGGGGACCCCCGCAGGGCCAGACATTGGAGGAGAGAAAGACGGCCCTGAGGAAGAGGAGGAAGAGGACTTTGATGACCTCACCCAGGATGAGGAAGATGAGATGTCATCAGCATCTGAGGAATCTGTGCTTTCTGTGCCTGAGCTCCAGGTAAGAGCTGAGGAGCAGCCTCAAGTATTTTGGGGATACAGTAGTATGTTTAACTTACTGATGTGCCATCTGCCTCCTTGTTTGTTTTTTTTTTTTGAGACAGGGTTTTGCTATGTAGTTCAGGCTTCCTTGAACTCCCTGTGTAGCCCAGGCAGGCCTCGCACTCATGGCGATCCTTCTGCCTCAGCCCCCCAAGTGCTGGTATTATGGGCTTGTGTGACCATACCTGGTTCATCTGCCTCCTCATCTGCTTGCTCCGCTAGACACAGTCCCAGTAGCATTTGTGTTTGACTTTCAAGTACCTTCTGTGACATAATTTTGGGGTTAATGTGAAATGAAAGGGAAAGGGTAAAATTTTACCTATTATATTTGAGCTAAACTCCTTTATAAGGATTAAATGTGCATGGTTTTTTTTTTGTTTTGTTTTTCTCTGGTACCAGGAACCGAACTCACGACCTTGCGCTTGCCAGGCAGGCGCTTTTGCCGCTGAGCTAAATCCCCAGCCCAATGTGCATGTTTTTAGTGCTTTAAAAAAAATAGTTTGGTGGGACTGGGAGTGTACCTCGTCACTAGAGCACTTGCTCAACATTTGTGAGGCCATGAATTCAATTCATAGTACCGGAGAAAAAGGAGAAAGATAGAGCAGCTCACAAGTATTGGCTGTGACAAAAGAAAAGTGTGTTGTAGAGGAACCTTTTAAAAAGCTCCTGGTGTGGTGGTGCATGCCTGTAATACCAGCACTCGGGAGGCTGAGGCTGGAGGATCACTGTGAGTGTAAGGCCAGTCTGGGCTATATAGTGAGTTCAAAGCCAGCATGAACTGCATAGCAAGACCCTGTTTCAAAAACCCAAACAAGAAGCTCCTGGGATCCCATATCCCAGGGGGCATTGGCCTACATGGTTGAACCTCAGATCCTCTTGACAGGGTACCAGGCATTAGGCTTCTTTTTGAGCCATTGAGGGTGGCTCATAAGCACTCCCTGGGGGTTTGCAGGAAACAATGGAGAAACTGACTTGGCTGGCATCTGAAAGGCGCATGAGTCAGGAGGGTGAGTCTGAGGAAGAGAACTCCCAGGAGGAGAATTCTGAGCCAGAAGAAGAAGAGGAAGAAGAAGCAGAAGGAGTGGAAAGCCTACAGAAAGAGGACGAGATGATTGATGACACAGTTGGAGACACTGTTGAGAAGCCCCCTTCTACCTTGGCATCCCCCAAGACTGCCCCGGAAGTGGAGACGCTCAGAATCCCACCAGGTGAGTGTGGCCGGTGTGTGATGAGGGGCAGGTGTGCACACTAGGCAGCTTGCACACTGGCTGGACAGTCTAGAGAAATCCCTGAATCTGTGCTGCGGCCTCCCTTTCCCAAACGTATGCTTAGCTGTGCCTTTGCGGAAAAGAGAGGCTGGGAAATGCTGAATTTGATTCTCATCAGCTGCTAGATGGGTGCTAGCTTGTTCACAGTTTTCTAAGTGGTTCTTGCCTTGTCTATCATGCATGGGGTTGAGCTCTGTTTTTTGAGAAAACAGTGTTCCTGCCTGTAATCCCAGCACTCGGGAGGTTAAGGCAGGAGAATTGCTGTGAGTGAGCAGGTGTGGCTTTCCTATCAAGTTCCCAGCCACTCCTCTCCGAGTTGCTCCGTGACACGAACAAGGATTGCATGGGGTGGTGCTTGAGGTGAGGAAGGTGGGAGGAATAGAGATTTCATGGCAAAAAACAATCTTTTCACATGTGCCCCAAGGAGAGAACATAAAAGCTGCAGGAAAGGGCCGGAGCAACCACCGAACTCGAAGCAAGCGTGGCAGTCGGGCTCGGGCCAGCAAGGACACCTCGAAGCTGTTGTTGCTGTATGATGAAGACATTCTCGAGCGTGATCCGCTCAGGGAGCAGAAGGACTTGGCTTTTGCCCAAGCCTATCTGACCAGGGTAGGTAGATGCTGCTTCTGTTACTGCCAGACCCTATGAATATGGCTACTTCTCCCTCAAAAGAGATGTTTTAAAAACTCAAGTGTGGGGCTGAGGGTGTAGCTTAGTGGTGAGGCCCCTGCCTGCCATGTGTAAGGCCATGGGTTCAATTCCTAGCAGTGCCAAAAGAAAACAAAAGTCTGGTTTTCAAACTGGGTAATAGGTCATCTAGCTGTGCCTTAGGTTGGCAAAAGTTACAAAAAATAACTCTTCAAGGAACCCTAAGAAGACACAGGGTTCATCCTACATGGGTTGATTGTGAGCACCCTGGAATCATCTTTCTTGTCTGGAGACTGGGGAGAGGTGATACCTCCATTGTCAGTGGGAGGTCGTGACTTCACTGGCGGGGCTAATGAGGACTTCTCCTGAGCCATAGGTGCTAGGACAGTGACTGTTGGGACACTGGCCAGAGTGTGGATCTCAGATACGAACCTACCTGTGTCCTGGGTAGCTGTCTCTTCTCTTGGCAACCAGCGTGTTCCTTCATCCTGCTATTAAACCGAAATGCTAGCAGTGATAGTTAGGGCTTGTTTGGTCTCTTAATATTTTACTAACATCCTGGATTTATGTATTATGTATCCTCGAATGGGACTATGTTGAAATACTTTTTTATGGTGCCAAAATCAGGAAGGAGAACTTGAGGCTGTGAGCTAGAGAAAAGCGTTAGTTTGTTTTGTGGACAAGGCTGTGGTCTGTGGAAAACGAAAGTTTTCTTGTTGCCTATTAGCGGAAAATAGTTCTACCTTGATTGTTGCCCATGTTTTCCATTAACCATCAGCTCTGAAGCCCCCTCAGGGGAGTCCCTGAAGGGTAGTTCTTGGCGCTCGCTGGCCATGACCTCTCTTTTTCCCTTGTGCCTTTGCTTTTCCTCGGGCCCAGAGTAAGGGTGCTGATGGTGGGACGTCTTCCTGTGTAGGTACGAGAAGCACTGCAGCACATCCCTGGCAAGTATGAGGACTTCCTTCAGGTCATCTATGAATTTGAGTCAAGTTCTCAGAGGCAGACAGCTGTGGATCTCTACAAAAGCCTCCAGATTCTGCTCCAAGATTGGCCGCAGTTGTTGAAGGACTTCGCTGCTTTCCTGTTGCCTGAGCAAGCTCTGGCCTGTGGATTAGTAAGTAAAGGGGCAAAATAGCACACAGGATTCCTGGGTCATCAGGAAACAGGTTGAATGAAATGAAGTAAGACCATTGCAGTCTTCTGACTGCCTCTGCACAGGTTTTCCATGCCCCTTTCCCCAAGGTGGTAAGAGTCGTCTTTTCAGGGAGCGTTCTTCCCAACCCTCTTTTCTCGTTTTCCTGCCCTCCGCTCCCCTCCCTTCCTTTCCCTCCTGTCCCCTGCCCTCCCCTTCCTGGCCTTGCCCTGCCCTCCCTTTTGTTGAACCCGGGACCTGCACATTGAACTATATCCCCACTCCCCTTTTTGAGTGAGAAGTCACCCCACTTCCCTTTTTCAACAGGCTCTTGCTGAGTTGCCTGGGCTGGGCTTGTACATCAGTCTCCTGCCTCAGCTTCCCTGTGTGCTGAGCTTTCAGGCATGTGCCACCTCCCCCCAGTATGCTCTGTTTTCTTTTTGTAGCAAGTGAAAGGGTTTTAGTTCTCCCTGGAGACCTTCCTTAGTTGCTCTGTTTCTCTCTGGTATAAAATAGGCATTGCTTTAGTAAGTGTTTGTTGAGTGTCAGGCACAGTGTCAGACAAAGTTATAAGTGCTAGGAATACAGCAATTAGAAAAGGCTAGGGCCAGGTGTAGTGGCACATGCTTGTAATCCCAGCATTTGGGAGGCTGAGGCAGGAGGAGCATACAATTCGAGCTCAGCCTGGGCAGTTTAGCATTTAAATCCTGTGTCAAAATAAAAAATAAGAAAAGGGCTGAGGGATATAGTTCAGTGTGAAGGCACTGGGTTCAATCCTCAGTACTGGGGCAAGGTCCCTGCCTTCAAGGAGTTTACATTCTCTTGGGGAAAATTAGGTGTTAATATGTAAAATTACATAGCATATCAGCTATAGATTATGAAATAAGCAGTATATATATACATATATATATAATACATGTGTGTGTGTGTGAGTGCTTTATATTGATAATGCTTTACAAAAAACTAAAGTGGGAAAAAGAGGCTGGAGAGATGCAGGTGGGTGCAGGATCAGGCACGCACCATTTGACACACAGTGATCTGGAAAGAGCATGGTGGCAAGTGCTGTTTGAAATGGTGAAGAATAGGAATCTCAACATAAGAGCTGTCCCACTTGTCCTGGACCTCTTGTCATAATGACTGAAGAGAGGAAGAAGGAAATAGTGGGGCGTTCTGATGGTCTCATGCCTGTTAAATGACAGTGGGTCATCATGCATATGATGCCTGTCTTTTAAGAGGAGTGGCTGTCTTTGAGTATCTTTATTTCACAATCCAGAAAGCAGTTGGAGATGTTCACACCTCTTGAATCTTTTGTTCAAATCCTAGATTTCGTGGGGCCCAAGGTGGACGGATGCTAGAGCTTTGAACAGGGTCCTGCCAAGCCCACATCCCCATGTTCTTAGTTCTTACGCTTAGTGCACTCCCGGGCCACTGTCCATGTAGGTGACTCTTCTTTTGCCTCCTTCCACTCTGTTAGTTTGAGGAGCAGCAGGCCTTTGAGAAGAGTCGCAAGTTCCTTCGGCAGCTGGAGATTTGCTTTGCAGAAAACCCCTCACACCACCAGAAGATTATCAAGGTCCTCCAGGGTTGTGCAGACTGCGTTCCTCATGAGATCACAGAGGTATTCTTTCCTTTCCACTTCCTTTCTGTCCTCATTTGGGCCTCTGACCCTTTCTTTCTCTGTCCCGTTAATGCGTACCCTTTGCTCTTGAGTGTCAGGGCTCCTGGAGGAGCAGGAGGAGGAAAGGATTTTTTAGGGTTACTCATAACATAAAGCAGAGCTAGGCAGGGTTTGCCACCTGCCTCCCAAGCCCGAGAACCAGCTGGCGTGATGGAAGGTGATGCTGAGGCCCAGCCTCTTCACTCTGCTTGGGAAGCAGTTTTATCAGGAATCAGATCTGGTTACCATAGCCTGCACCTGTAGCTGGCAGGCAGGGAGGAGAGTTCTGAGAGTTCTTCTCCATTATAGGGAGCAGAATGTGGCCGTGTACGTGATTGCTTTGATTTGTGACCTCCAGTGTCTCTGGAGATGTCATCTTTGTCTCTGCTACTCTTCTCAGCTCAAGACACAGATGTGGCAGCTCCTCAAGGGCCATGATCATTTACAGGATGAATTCTCCATCTTCTTTGACCATCTGCGTCCAGCAGCAAGCCGGATGGGTGACTTTGAAGAGATAAATTGGACTGAGGAGAAAGAGTATGAGGTACAGGCCCTGTGGCTGCAGCAGGGTGTGAAGGGGAAGGCCCCTTGCGGGAGGGTATCAGCCTGGAGTCCGTGTTCAGTGGCACCAACTCCTCCCCAGTTTGATGGCTTTGAAGAAGTGGCACTGCCTGATGTGGAAGAGGAAGAAGAACCTCCCAAGATACCCACAGCCTCAAAGAACAAGAGAAGAAAAGAGGTTGGGGTTCAAAATCATGATAAGGTATGCCAGGCTGTGGAGGATTATCCACTTACCGTGACTCAAGCCTGAGTTTCTCCCTGAGTGTCTCTCTGGCTTAGTCCGAAGCTTCTGGCCAGTATCTCCTGGGTTTGGGAAAAACAGCCCAGATGTCTTGACTGCTGTGGACACATCGAGCCAAGAAACTGTGTAGATGCATTGAGGCCCAGGAGTCCCTTGCTAGAAGGCTGTTTTCTTACTCTTGGTCTTTTCACTGTTACTCATGAGAGAAAGTATTGAAGATTCCTATATTCATGATGACATCAATTAATTAGCCATCTTAGCAAGTGTCATTATCACTTGGGAGTCTTTTACATTGCTTATTAACTCTCAGTTCTTACAATAATCCCATGGAGTGTTGTTTTGTTTTGTGTGTGTGTATGTGGTTTTTTTTTTGGAGATAGGGTTTTGCTATACAGCTCAGGCTGGCCTTTAACTCAAGGCAATCCTCCTGCCTCAGTCTCCTCTGCTGCGTGCTGGGATTACAGGAGTGCGCCACCACACCTGGTTGGAGAGATTGTTTGCATTGTACAGAAGTAGCTAAAGTCCAGAGAGGGTATGCCAGGGTCACATCTAACAACTGGCAGTGCTAGGATGTGAACCCAGATAATCCAGCTCTAGAATCTCCTCAAACTCACTGTTCTTCAAAAGTATTTTAATCTTGTGTTTCTTTGATATGTATCTATACTCTTCCCTGTGGAGAAACTGCTTCATTGTAGAACAGCTTCAGGCAATTTATTTAATCTGTTTTAATTTCTTCATCGTGCTTGGGGCGATAGTGGTCTTTATGTCTTGGGTCTGTGAAACAGAGTATCACTGAGTGAGCCTTCTGTGTGTACAGAGTCCTCTATTGAAAGGCTTAGAGAGGGGCTGGGGATTTAGCTCAGCGGCACAGCACCTGCCTGGCAAGTGTAAGGTCGTGAGTTTGATTCCCAGTACCGGAAAAAAAACCCAAAAAAGGAAGAAAAAAAAAAAAAAAAAAAAAAAAAAGAAAAAGAAAGGCTTGGGGGAGAGGAGAGAGTTAAGGCACTAGGGAGACAAAAACCTAGACAGATGAGTGAGAAGATCAGCTCTTACCCGGACCTCTCCAGTGACTTTATTTTTGAGTCTCTTAGACTTGGAACATCTGGGTGATTGAGATAGGCTGGTCTTTGGGCCATTTAAGGATTGTTTCTAGGCTCCATAATAGGCTTAATCTAGTTTGGGCCGTTGGTTTCCCCAAGCAGTGGGATGCGAAGGTATTAAGAGAAAGGGGGAGCCGGGGATATAGCTCAGTGGCACAAGTGCCTGCCTGGCAAGTGTAAGGTCCTGAGTTCGATTCCTGGTACCCCCCCCAAAAAAAAATAAGAGAAAGGGGAGGTGTTGAGAGGGGCTTCTTTAGATGGCTTGCAAGTTAGCTTCCTTCCTTGGCACTAAAAATACATGGCAACTAATCAAGCCCAGGTGTCTTGTAGGAGACTGAGTGGCCAGATGGGGCAAAGGACTGTGCCTGTTCCTGCCACGAAGGGGGTCCTGATTCCAAGCTGAAGAAGAGCAAGCGGAGAACTTGTAGCCACTGTAGTGGCAGCAAGGTGAGGAACGTGCCTAGGTGCCCAGTTGTCTGGACTGAGGGTGTCAGCAGTCAGGGTGCCTGCAACATGTTGTTGTCGGTATCACCTTCTACCACAGGTTTTTATTTTCTTGTTTTCCTAAAAAGATTACACACATATAACTAATATGATATACACGAGTGCATAATTTTTTTTTTTTTGAGACAGTGTCTCACTATAATTTAAGTGGCTTCCAACCCTCGATGAGGCCTCGCGTGGCCTTGAACTCATGGCGATCCTCTTTCCTTAGCCTCTTGAGTGCTGGGATCACAGATGTGCACTGCCACACCCAGCCTATGAATTTTAAAAGAAATTCAAGGTAGATTTTGCTTCTTTAAAGAGAATCCCGGGCTGGTTATATAGCCCAGCTGCACAGTGCCTGCCTGGCAAGCACAAGATTCTGAGTTTGATTCCCAGGATTAAAAAAAAAAAAAAAAAAGAATTCTGTGAGTAAAGCTTTTGGAATTGGAAGGGTTTTTTTTTTTTTTTTTTTAAGTGAAATGTCAGAAAAATAGCCTCTAACGGTAATTCAGGTTCTCTAGAATGCAGTTGGTTGGCGGCAAAACTGCCATCCTCAGAGTAGTGGGGTCCCTTGCTATGGATCCTTTAGAATTCTTGGAGCCTGCACAGAACGTGGCCCCTGAGACATAGGTCAGGACATGACCGTGACGCAGAGGGCCATCCCTGCAGGTCTGTGACAGCAAACCCTGCAAGCACAAGGAGCCACAGGAGTCTGTGAGCAGCAGTCCCCATGGAGAGGCCAGTCCTGTGCGTGGTGCGAAGGAAGCAGGGCAGGGCAAGGAGCTGGTGGAAGAGGAGGCCCTGGAAGATCGGGAGAGCACTGAGGCCCTGCAGAGCAGGACTGGCAGGACCACCCGGAAGGGGGAGGTGCCTGCTCCAGGTGAGTGGCGCATGGCCAGCCCCACCCTTCTCCCTGGAGAGCTCTTGGTTTGAACACCCTTTGAGGGATGGACAGTACCTCCGTGGCTGATGGGACAATGGAAACCCTGTTGTTTTCAGCCAGTGTTTTCTCTCCAGTGACTCTGCCTATCTCACAGAATTAAGGGTAGCAGTTTTCAGTCCTCAGGTGCACCCTGATCCTCTCCACACCCTTAGATCCTTATTTTCCTCCTACTCAGGATCAACAGTGCGGAGCATGTCAGTGTCCCAAGAAGTGCCTCTTACAGAACGGCTCCCAGAGAGCACACCACGTCCCACACCAGAGACGCCTCAGCACCCTCCCCCAACTGCAGCTGCACTACACACTGTTCAGAGAGGCCAGGCTGGGCCTGAGGGTCTCTCCGCCAGTGCATCCCCTGGACATGAAAAAGAAGGGGATGGCTGCAAGGCAGTGGGTGACTCAGAGGCCTCTTTGCTTGTCTGGGACGCCTCACAGCCTGAGACCTCGCCCGGTACTGTGGAGCCCTCTGCCCCTTTCCCAAGTCCTGCTTCCTCAAGGACCAGAGTCATCGGGAGGAGACATGTGCCTGGGAAACCAGACGCTCAAGACACCTGGCTGTCCTCGAGCAGAGCTGGGGCAAGGAGAGCAAATAGGCTGTCCCCCAGCCATGAACCGTCACTGGGAGTCAACACCTCAGAGACGGCTCCTGAAGCCCCCAGAGGGAGTCTGGCTAAAGATGGTGGAGTGCAGGTCAGGGGTTCAGAGGGGGAACAGCAGCCAAAGGCCACAGAAGCTACAGTGTGTGCGAACAATAGCAAGGTCAGCTCCACCGGGGAGAAGGTCGTCCTGTGGACCAGGTGAGTCAGGTTGAAGAATGTGTGGAAAATGGCGTCACACTTGGGTGGCTCTGAAGGGCTAATCATGATGTGTGGTGTACAGGGAAGCAGACCGCGTGATTCTCACCATGTGTCAGGAGCGAGGAGCACAGCCGCAGACCTTCAGCAGCATCTCTCAGCAGCTGGGAAACAAGACCCCAGCGGAGGTGAGTGGTGGGCAGGGAAGTGTGTGGGGCTGAGGAACCAGGATGGCTTGGCACAAGGATACAAGGGGCCGACATGTTGAAGATACAGACTTGCAGAAGGGCTTACCCCACAGGGTGGTAGTGGCTGTAGGAGAAAGGGTGTGAGATTGGGAGGCAGAAGCTCCCACTTTCCATTTGCTGTGGTTTTAGGAGTGTGATTTTAGGAAGAGTATTTGGCTTCCAGAGTTCCTCACCTATGAGGAGGACACAGCTCTCCCAGCATTACTGTGTGGATAACTAAGATTTTCCAGATTGGCACCCAGTGCTAGTGAATGTCACAGCACTACTAGTTCAGAACAGTGAACGAGCCTTTCTGTTAGGTCTCCCACCGCTTCCGAGAACTCATGCAGCTCTTCCACACGGCCTGCGAGGCCAGCTCTGAGGATGAGGACGATGCCACCAGTACCAGCAACACAGACCAGCTGTCAGACCACGGGGACCTGCTGTCTGAGGAGGAGCTGGATGAGTGAGACTGGGCATGTGGGTGTCACCTGCTCAGGACCAGCTCTGTAGGCGGCCCACACCCAGGATAGGGGGGCTGTCTTTGCCTGTCCAGTCCTTGAGCTCTGCACACAGGACTGCAGAGTGGAACTGAGGACAAGGACAAAATGACAGTGAGGTGGGCCAGGGCTCTGCACCCTGTGTCTCTCTCAGGGCAGACCTTAGGAAGACCTTCTAGTTCCACTGTGTAAATAACCATTGAAGGAGGGGGGCTATGCTCCCTGCTCTCCCTCCTTTTTGTCAGATGGTACATATTTATTGTCCTGTGGTCCACACAGTGTCTCTAGCTGTAATAAACGCCTGTGTCACGTAGCCTGTCCAAGACACTGAGCTCCTCTGCCCAAGGACACTGGGTTCTACAGCCATCAGTTTTTATTGCAAATGAAAGTCCCCACCCTGGGAGCTTCAGTCTGTGAGGCTGTCGCTCGCCCGGTAGCACTGGGCCAGGCTGTGCAGCTCCTGTAACAACTCTTCTACATCATCCTGTTCCACCCCAGCCTCCAAGAAGCTGGCCCAGCGCCGCAGGTCGAGTTGTGTGAGCTCCTTGGCCAAGCTTCTCAGGGTCTGGTGCAAGGATGAAGAGGAACGTAGGGCCCCAAACACTGGGATGCTCTGCCCGGCTGTGGAGGAGAGAAATGTGAGGCCAAGTGGGTTATCTTCCGCCTGGGCTTCCTGTGTGAACTCACAGGGAAGTGTGGGTGCTTGGTAGGCTTGACTGTAAAGTACACTTGGTGAATCTGTGTGCAGTCCTTTTAGTGTACCAGTACTCCAGAGGAAGGGCACTTCTTAGGAGTCATGGGATGAATAAAGGAATGTTTAACTGTGAACTTCTTTTAAAAAGGCGCTTTTAATCCGGGAATAGCCCATAAAACCCTTCCCCAAGCTTGAAATCTTAGTTCTGTACACCTCTTACATACCTTCGCTCCTGAGGGGACAGCTAGGGACCACACCCTGCTGGCCGAAGCTTGAGGAGAAGAAGTGGGGGTAAGGAGGGGCCACTCTGCAGGGAGCCAGCAGCAGATGGGAAGAACTGTGGGGCCAAGAATGGCAGTTAAGCAAGGAATGCGGCAAAGGAGCTTGAGGTCTGGGAGGAGGGTGAGAGCCGGTGCTGTACTGACCTTATGACTCTGGGCTGCTGCTCTTGTAAATACTGGGCCAAGACTTCTTCCCCAGTGGGGCACGCATGGAGCGGGGAAGGCAGAGCTGTCCCTGGGGGGAGCCAACTGCAGGAACAAAACCACCTTTATTCTGTGGCAGCCCCAGTAAGAGCTAAGAATTCTTACATTCTTTTTTTTTTTTTTTGTCTTTTTGTGACAGTATTTTGCTATGCAGTTTAGGCTGGCCTTGAACTCACAATGATTCTCTTGCCTCAGTCTCCTGAGTGCTGGGATTACGAGCATTCATCCACACGCCTGTGGAATTCTTACATTCTTCTAAGGTGGGGCCATTAGCTGAGTCAGAAAGTTCAGAGCTGCCCAGCCCTTTTTTTTTTTTTTTTTTTTTTAAATAAGGGTGATAGTGGTGAGAGGGATCCATGTGTTTAGAAAGCCTGAACAGAGGGAGAAAAAGACAAGGACCAACAATTCTTACCTAGTATGACTTGCTTTGTCTACACCTCTCAGCACCACTGACTGGGCAAAGCAGCGTGTTCCAGAGGGGTCCCCACATGCAGACAGTGAGGTCCATGGCGTGCTTCCTCCAAGCTGTACCAGGGTATCAGGAAGGGACTGGCCTGGAACCCAGGGGAAGGGGATGATTGCTTCAGCTGTCACCACCTAATGATCAGAAGGAGATCAGGTTACAGAGTTTTTATCTCCGTGCCAACCTCACCCCTTCCAAAGCCTCATACCTTCTTCCCAGAGCAGCTCAACATATCCGCCAGCCGAACCATGGAAACTGGAGAGGAGCGGAGGCGGTAAGGAGCAGTGACTGTGTCCAGGGCTGTGGCCAAGATAGCACTGCAGTGAAAGGGCAGGGTGGCCTGTAAAAGGACATATGCACTCAGGCTTTCAGTCAGGTCTGGAAAAGAATGTGCACAGGCAGAACAGTAATGGCAGAGAGGTCTGAAAGGTAAAGCGAGGGTGTATTTGGGCAAAGGCTGGACAAGCATAGGACAGTGGGGTCCAAGAGGCCATGTCATAGTTGAGTTCAAACTAAGGGGCTCTAAGAACAGCCACCAACCAGGGCTGAATTGGGGAGGATGGGGGCTGCCCTGTGGCCAGCTGCAATCAGGTCAAGTGCTGAGCCTTACGTCATAGTGCAGGTAAGGGAAATTCACAGGTGGTTGAGGTCGAAGGCCCAGGCTCCCACTCAAGGATAAGGGGCAGACAAAAGAGCTGGAAGCAGTCAGGTGCACCAGACCAAATGCTGTATTTAACAGACGATAGATGTTTTTCTGTGGTTCCTGGTAAAAGAATAGTTCGTATCAAGCAACTTTTCCCATAGTATTCTCATCTCTCCCTCTCCATTCGGAATTCTTTCTCCCCGAGTTCTACTTACCCCAACACTATAGGGGCCCGGCAGCAGGCCCCAGGTTATTATTCCCCGCCCCGAATACTCGTCTTGTAGCAGCTCTGCAACCTTGGTGCCTACCCCAGAAAAGCCATCGTGCAGGTCACACAGAATCTGGAAACCCTGAAGGGAGGAAGGATAAAAATCAACAGAAGGGGTTGGGCGTGGTGGCGCATGTGCCTGTAATCCCAGCACTTAGGAAGCTGAAACCCCGTCTCAAAAAGACCAAAAAGACAGTAACAAAAAATCAATAGGAGTAGGATGAGGAGAGTTCTGCCCTGTGCCATGTCTTGCCATACGGGTACCTGCAGGTAGTCACATTCTTCCACGTAGAAGTGCAGCCTGTCCTCTAGCTCCTCCAGGTACCTGGGTTCCTTCAGGATACTCTCTCCTTGGCCAAAAGCCTCCAGTCGGCCTGTCTCTCTGCCACAAAAAAGACAGTCCAAGACAAGACTTTGAACTCCCTCCCCACCACTACTTCTCCATCTCTTAGGAGGAGATGGCCCTAAGAGCAATGTGTAGGGTCCTCAACTCTTTGCCTCCCGGCCTGGAGTCTCCATACCCATCATGGTTGTATTTCTGAATCAGACAGATGCTCCGGGGATGGAGATGGACTCTGAGGAAGTCTGACCAGACTCTGATGCTGCCCACCGTGGGGATAAGTGGCTTTGGATTTGAAACACTGGTGACTGGTGGGGGACCTGAACATAAAGCAGAAAGGATACACCTTTGTCTTACCCAGGCTCCTATCCATAGTTCCCAGGTCTCCAGGGTCGGAGAAGTCTCACCTTTGCCATTAGGGATGGATTTGATCCTCCAGATACCATTGCTAAGCACTCCCTGGAAAGAGTGAAAGAAAATTTTATTTACTTTTAGGCCATACCTCACAAACTCCTTCCTCATTTTCTTTACTTTTCTTCCTGTCTTCTTTCCTTCCTTTCCCTTTCTCTTTCTTTCTTTGAGACAGGGTACTGCTATGTAATTCAGGCTGGCCTTAAACTCATGATGATCCTCCTGCCTCAGCCCCTCAAGTGCTGGGATTATGGGCTAGTGTCACCACATATAGCTGCAGCCAGCCTCCTTTCCGTTTAGGTCATCACAGTCCTTGGGAAAAGAAGTGCTCTTTCCCAAAATACTTTAAGGTGATTGTCTTCCTTTGCCCCAGTGGAGGCACTTGGGTTTTAGCCAGGGTTAAAGGGCTCAGGGCAGAGGCCCTCACCTCTGCACTCTGAAAGTCCTGGAGATAAGGATTCTTGGGGTAGATTTCCTCCTCTTTGTGTGTGGTGAGCTTGCCCTGCCTGAAAAAGATCAAAGAAACTCACTATGATGAGATATCCGGCTTTCTGCCTCCCACCCACCCGACACATCAAATACACACCACGCTATTGCAGCATCCAGCTGTCTGTCCCGGTAGAGTCCTCCCTCCTCTTTTAGGGAGCTCAGACTGCCTGTTAGGAAATAATAGAGAATCCAAAGTCAAAGCCTAGGGCATCCTCTACCGCCATCGGGCTTGTCTTCCTCTGACGCACTTAACAGCCTGCTGTCACCATCCCTCCAGTAGCTGGCACTGCCAAACTTTCCTGGAGATACATGGAAGGGGGCGGTGTCTAAAAGAATACAGATTTCATCCTTGCTGCCAGAGCTTGGTCACACCGGGAGGTACTAGCGGGCGTGGTAGTTCCGCACCTCCCTGTCTCTAGCCTATTCCAGAGACGGCTCTTGGGCAGAAAGATGTGCCTCCCGCACCTGTCCCGAGTTGGCAATCATCTCTGCATCACTCGGACCCGTATGGTTAGAGGTTCCTGAGGCGAAAGGATGCTACAGACCCTCACCCTTCAGGTCCATGAGGATGAGTCGAGGCGTGTAGGTTTCCTGGCCGTGCAGCGTCCGGCCTCTTCGGTACAGTACGTCGGGGCACAGCTCTCCCGACCGCTCCGGGGCATCTGTGGTCCTGCCCAACGCAGCATCCTGGGGAAGCAAACAAGGGAAACTGGACTGGGGTGCGATATAGGGGCAGGTCGACGACGGGACGGAAGATTCCGAACGATTCCATAGGGACAGCCACCTGGAGCCCTCACCTGCTGGTTCCACCAGTGTGCTCCCACAAAACCCGCAAAGTGTCCCAACTGCAGCGTGAGCACCTCCCGAGCCCCGCCCGCCATACCGCGCAGTCTACTCGGTGGGACTGCCCCCGCACGTCCGCTCTTCGCTCCTAGCTGATTGGCTCGATAGGCTTGAGGGCGGGCCAGATCTCTGCATCCTATTGGTCCACAGACACATCCTTTCCAATTGGATAAACGGTTCGCAGGTCCGTCCAGCTCCGCCTCTTCCTCGAGAGGGGCGGAGCTCCGCAGGCCGCCCCGGAAGCCGTGCGAGCTGCGGCCGTTCTTGGGTGGGGCTTCTTCGCCAGGATCCCGTTTTTGTCTTGCCGGGCGTCAGCCCTGCAACTTCTTCCTGCTGCGCTGGCTCGTCTAAGTAGACATCGCTGCCAGCGACCCACTCGACAAGGAAAAAACAGCTCCCGGGCTAGAGCGCAGCTCAGGGCGAAAGCCTTGGGTTCTACCCCTAATCCCGGAAAAAAGGTCCCTTAAAGCTTCCCACGTACCCTTTCTCCAAGGCACAGCCGTTGTGACCTTCAGCCCTGTGGACTGGCCAGTCATCTGTCAGTGTCTGACAGACCTCAGCCCACGAATGGGAGCCCGCGCCTTTATCAGGTGTGCTACTTGTCTCTCTCTGGCGCATACTCGTTATTTTTCGTCGCTGTACAACAGTCCATTGTATGTATCTCAAATGACGTGATCTGCAGAACCGCCGATTCTGCTACTAATACCTTTTGAGATACTTGTCTCCCGTGCCTGTGCACATATTTCTAGGAGGGTTTTTTTGTTTTTTGCTTTTTTCCCCCCTCTCCTCACTATGTAGTTTAACCTGACCCTGAACTCACTATGTAGCCCAGTCTGGCCTAGAACTCGCAGTGATCCTCCTGCTTCAGTCTCCCGAGTGCTGAGATTAAGGGTGTGCGCCACCACGCCTGGCTTAGGAGTTGCAGTCCTAAAATTGGGTATGTTTGAATTTGATAAAAAAAGAGACGTTTCCTAAAAATTCTTTACCAGTTTACATTGCCACCTACAGTACATCAGTTGATGTCCCATAAACGGCACCATTTGAAAACTTCCAATCACTATCACTTTTACTTTTCTTGACTGTTAGCGAGGTTGAGAGCACCATTTATCAGCCATTCGGTCACACTTTTCCTCAACAGCTTGTTCGCGCCTCTTGTTCATGTTCCTTTTGGGTTGATTGTTGTTGGTTACGTGTCAAAAAATTTTTTCATGGCGGTTTGCCTTTTGATTTTTCTTTCTTTCTTTTTTTTTTTTTTTTTGTTTTTTTGAGACAGAGTCTCACTATGCAGGCTGGCCTTGAGCTCACTTTGTAGCCCAGGCTGGTCTTGAACTCCCAACGATCCTCCTACCTCAGCCTCCCAAATGTTGGGATTACAGGCGAATG